GGGTGCAAGATATACTCCTTTTTCATTGAAACGTCTTTTTTCTGTTCATGAATACTCTAAATACCAAGAAGTCGAACCCCGTTTAAATTTATTCATAATGAACAACTAATTCCAAGGTTTCTAATCACAAGAAGAGAACCAAATGGAAATATAAAAGAACTTGTTTTGTGAGGATTGACCGCACACGTTAAATAAATAAATGCAGGGGAAACAATATGATGTATTGATCACTTCCAGAAACTTAAAGCTTCATTCATTGTGATTATAACATAATTATATGCAAGGTATGGAGTGCAAAGCCAAAGTTGACTCAACTCTCTCAATTGTACTATGCATTTCTAAAGAAGATTTAAAGTCACTAACCATTGGCTGAAACGATATTAGTATTATCGAGACTCCTAAATTGCTTTACGACATTATTTAACATCAGCTATGAATCCATCATATTTGCAATCCATAGGCATTATTATAAAATTAGAGTTACTATTGAGAACCAAGTGAAACTAACCATGATTGTGCCTGCTGCTGATGCTGCTCTTGCTGTAGCATACTCCCCTGCATAAAGCAACCAAGTAATCAGACTTCCGAAACACCTTAGAGTTTTTCCACATAAAGAATACTCGAGCCTTCAAAAAAGATGTTTAGTACTACACGTAAAACCATTGCCATCTGAATTCTAGAATCACTTCTAATAATTAATAGTTAAACCAAATGTGACCAACAAGTTTCTCAAGTAGACAGAGCTCAAAGCCTCTCAAATATGCATGGATGAAAATTCACAAATCTTCAGTTTATTTGAAACAGTCCATTAACATATTACTTATGTCCTTTGAGGTTAGTTACGATAACATGATATAAATTCATGGTTACACCCAACGAGTCCAGATAATAAGATTATACAGTTAAAAACTTGTATGAGTGCAAGATATACCTTCAGGATGTGCCATTTTCTGCATGGCTGTTGGTGCAATCATGATAGGCATTGAAATCTTGAATCCTAGCACTGTGGTGGTCATGTCAATTTTGCTCACATCAATGAGAATACGGGGCCTAAACCTGTATCGGTTATAAAAGAACAGAATTATACATGTGAATATAACTTAAGAGTCATATATTATGTAATTCAGGTCTTAGAGCTAGAGCTAGAGCTACTTACAGAATTCTTGAGAAGGCGTTTCTGTTCTCAGCCAGAGTCCACTGGTCCTCAGCTCCCGAGGCATAGTAGTCATAAACCATCTTTGGCAACTTTTTCTTGGCGATCTCCTGATACTCCGTAACATTGGTTACTTCCTCCATCTTTAGCAGTATTTCACGCTCCCCTTCCAAACTTCCTGACGCTACACAAAATTAGCACTGTTGACAAGCCTTATTGAAGATACATATTACTGTTGAATCATATGACAGCAACCAAGGAAAATATTTTACTCAAAGAAACTTCATCTACATCATTTTCTAGTACTTGATTGGGTATAAACTAAGTACCATAAAGTTCTTCAAGAAAATGTTCTCGTCATACAAAATACGCCTTAATTAGTGAAGATAAAGAAGTATACATCAAACATGTGAAAAACAACTTAGATAAACAACAAATTCTCTCTGAGACTGAATGATTTCTACCTATAATGTCCAAAAGTTAGTCAAAACAAGTTTTACGAAGTAATTGGAGCTGGAATCGATACTTATAAAAGTAGATAACTTCCACCTATAAGTCATCGAACCCTTGCTGAAAAACAGTTTCCTCTGTCAATCAAACAGCAAAAAATGACTTCATCGTGTAAAATATTTTCCAAGATGAAGTTTTCGTCATGATTAGTGAAGAACCAGTATGCATCATAAATGTAAAAACAACGATAGCTTCCCTATGAGACTAAATGATACAAGAAATTTGATAAAAACAAAAAACAAAACAGTTCGGTGCACAAAGCATCCCACGTTAATTAACTTAATGCAAGCATAAGTAGCTACTTTCACAACTCGAACCTGTGATAACATGTTTGATCAAGAAACAATAAACAAGAACACAAATAAAGAAACTAAGCTTGGCAGAAACAGAACAAACCCCATGAAAAATGAATCAAAAAAGTAGAAAAAACATCATACATGCATGCAGTAAACAGAGAACTATATCATCTAATAAGACTCAAACAAACAAGATTCTTGAAAGTAAATTAAAACCTTTACAAAAAAAGTGTAAGAGAAGTTAAGAACAGACCTTGGACTCCCAAGCTGTGTTGAGAACACTTTGTGCTTAGTGAAAACCAGTGAACAAATTGCTACTAAAATAGTAGAAAAAAGAAAACAATAATAATAATGACAAAAATGGGGCAAGAAATTAATTAAATAGGAATTAATAAAAAGACAAAAATTATATGGGGTGGATGAATAGAGAAGCACAAATTTGAGGATCAGTTTTTGGAGGTGAATATTTTAAACCACATCCGATTAGGGGTATGCAAATGTGTGGCTCTCTATCACATAACCCTCTTTTGTGTTACACAATTTCCCTTCACTATCATCCCCACGATAATATCCAAAATATCATTCATCTAAGTTCAAATCAACTCTAAAGTTATCTTTGTATGACCTATATATCACGCGTTCAACGAGTGTTACCCTTCTCTTGAACCTACATAAACGCGAGATATTTTATACATCGAATTGTGTTAGATCGGTGTATATCTTGAACTTATATGTTTATTGATTATCAAAAGAATCTTTTAATTTTATCATAAAGTCATCCGAATAATACCGTGCCACTTGTCCTTTCAAAAAAACAGAGGGTTATATGAAGATAAGAAGGGAAACAAAACGATAAGGCAAGATGAGAACTGAGAGTCACTGTCTTCTACCGAAATAGATACTGCTAAAAGTTCAATAATTCCATCAATAGCTATGATTTCAAGTGTTAATAAATAAATTTAGATATATTTAATATTAAAATAATTAGTAAAAGTTATTGAATTCGACTGAATTTATTTATCGGCGATAAGGCAAAGATTATTTATATAGGCAACTTGTTGTGAGAATACAGTGGGATGTGTGCAGCAAGAGTACATGTGAACTTGAGTACTTAAAGGTTGTATTGTTAACTATAAAAAGTCATGTTGGTTAGGCAGTTGAGTAGTAGAGTAATATGTCATGTTGCATTTGTCAAATGGGAAAAAGATAACTTTTGTGCTGTACAGTTATTTGACAATTAAAATGGCCTAGTAATTGCCTGATAAATTTTAATTAATTTTTAATATCTTATTTGATTGTAAAGCATGTAATAATTTATTTCGTAATTAATAATTAATATAGATAAGGTAGTGTATTAAATTTAGAATAATTTATTTCGAAATAAAATAAATAAATTAAATGACAAATGTGTCCCTTTTAAACCTTTTTTATACCTCTTTTTTTTTCATTTATATATAACTATTTTTGATAGTCTTTAACCTCCTTGGTCTTTAAATAATTCTTTTACATAAAAAAATATATTACTAAAATATTGTGCAATACAAAATTATAGTTTATAAATTTATTCTGATTAATTTTTGTATTTAGATTTCTCATCTATCTTCTTTTGCTTTAAAAAAATTTAAGTTGGAAATTTTATCTTTAAGCTAAAAAGAAAAAAGTTTATGTTTATATATGTACGGTACCACCGTGAAATGCACACACAAATATATTTAAACTAAGTAAGATGAATATTTCATTTTTAGTAATGAATGAGTAAAACTTACAAAGAAAATATATAAAAATAAATAAATAAAGTGATGTGTAATTTTGTAAACGAATAATTTGTTCTTAAAATCTATACAATTCATATTATTTTGATTTTCGAATACAATAAATCAAACACTCAATGAAAAATAATCTCAGCATGACTTATCTCATTATAACTAATCCTATCACAATTTGTTTTCAAACCAAGTGTTGTTTATCGAGGCATGTTCTAGGCGGAATTATACTAATAAATACTAGATCTAAATTAATGATATTAGCTAGAGTTTAATCATAGGTTTTGAATTTGATTTTGAAAATTTATCTTCAAATATCTAAACATAACTTTAAATATCAAAAACTCAAATTTTCAAATGCTTACTTCAAAATCTACGATCAAATTGAAGTTCTAAACATTATTTGATTCAATTTCAAAAATCGTAAACAATCATATTCATAAAATTTAAATTCAAAATTCACATTTGTGACTTTTCTCAATCCAAAATACGGTCAAGCAACTGAAAAGTACAAAACATTCTCCTCCTATAAGAATCTTGAAATTTTGAAAATCAAAACTCAAAGGCATAGATGTATTTCAAGAACAGAAATTGAAATTATCAAAATATGTAAGTCGTATAATATAACTTGCTCAAATTATGTGAATAAGACAAAATGAATAACAAATATTGAATTGATATAAAATAATAAGTCAAGCAAATATAAAGACTCTATGATTCGACTTATCATTTCACAGTATCAATAAATAAATTTATTGTTATTGACATTAATTAAGAAAATGAGTAACAAAGCTTAAGAACACGATATAGTACTAAATATTTTGTTGGTGAAAGAATAATGATTCTACCGTTTAATCGAATGAAAAATAGGTTATAGTCAATTCTAAAAAATATGATACGTGAAAAAAAATCACTTGACGAAGACCCTTGTTTCCTCATATCTATGCAATTATTTCCTCGTCTTCTTCCGCAGCTTTTTCTTCTTTTATATTTGTTTTCGTGAACTTAATTTTATTTATTTCTCTTAATAAAAAAAATAATTTCACATTTAACTTAAAAATTAAAAAAGAACATGTAATCCAAAATAAATTATTGATACAAAATTAATTATTATATCATTAATATAAAACAAATTTAAGAAACAACACTACTACAAAGCAAATTTTAAAAATTATATATATCAGTAATACAAGATAAATATCAATAAATCTTGTTATATTTGATATAATTTTTATTTTTTTTATGTTTTCATTATGTTTGGTCAAATTTTATTTTTTTTAATCCATTGGTAAATGCGAAAAATGGCATTAGAAGGAAAGTAAACGAGAATGGCGGAGTCGGTAATAGGATCATGAAAAAGAGAAGTGGGAAAATAAGCAACCAAAGCCAAATCCATCAAGTCAGGCAGGCGCGCTAAAAGTCTGAACACTACACTCCTCTGACTTTCTCGTCACACTTTTTAACCATTCTACTCCAACAATCTGTCACTTCTTAAACTTTTCTTCAAATATCTAACATTCCCACCAGTTTGTGAGGGATTCATAAATGGCGGATCCGCAGAGAAAATGGGTGACCGACGATGTATTAACATACGCATATCTTCTCCTCTACATTGCACTCTCTAGTGGTCAGATCTTCTTCAACAAGGTAATCCCTTCTAATTAACCACGTAAATTTGCTTATAAATTAATTCGGATTCGTTGTCTATCCTGTGACTGTAATTGATACTGGAGTAATGCTTTGTGCCTTGGATATAATGGCAACTTTCGCCACTGCTTTCAATTTATAGTTGAATAGTTTCGTAATATATGTGTTTGTTGTTTGTGCTCATTTTGCATCCATAATAACAAGACAGTATTGATGGAGGAGTAGATAAATAAATTGTACATAGAGTTTCTTAAGGAAAATGCACGGGTTGAACCAACACTGTCCCGGTGCAGCGTCCGTTTACTTAAAATCATGGATCTGTCTTTGACAGTTGGAAGAAATGTCTCTTTCTATGAGTGATATACACGGAGCATACATTGTTGCAAAGTTGTGAAATTATGCCTTAAGGGTAGTGTCAGCGCTCATAAGGCCAATTGCACTTCAACCTGTCCGTAATTCTATCATTTATGTATTTTTCTGAGTTGTTATATAAGATAGGCTGAAAAATCAGGTAATCAAGTTAATGAACTGGTTTTTAGACATTTGAAGTCACAAAGGTGGAGTTCAATGATATAGAACTTCATATTACTTCATGGGAAGCAGTAGTATCTCATAAGTCTCATCAATTTGTTTGTTCCAAGTGTATTGTTTGTGCAAACATTTGATAAGCCTCATCAAATCATTGTTTGTTTGTTCCAAGTTTGTTTTTTGTGAAAACATTTTATAAATCTCATCAATTCATTAATTTGTTTGTTCTAAGTGTATTGATTGTGAAAACATTTTATCCCTTTAACCAGAAACTTAAGGTTGCATTATGTTTTTAATCAGTCAAATGTCTCTTGTACCAGTTTAAAGAAGTTACAGAAGTGTAAACACTAAAAAGATTCTTTTCTTCTAGTATTTCTTTTTGTGCTGTTGACTGTCTATATTTTGTTCATTTTACAACTTAGTTGAGAATTCATTTTAGAGATTGTTAAGTAAACATATAGAAGTGACATTCAATATACATAAGGAGTGATCTATTAGAATAAAAACTTACAGAATTTTGAGAACCTGCAACATCTTAGTCAAATAACTACCTATAAAATAATCTTTTGTTACTGTGTGAGAGAGAGAGGTTGGGATTTTCTTTTGAACTGATTTTATTTGATCATGGATTTCTGCTTCTTTGCTTATCTAGCTCTATTTTAAGTCAACTCTAGTTAACAATTGCAGCATTTTAAGACTAGTTCGCATCTCTGACGTGTTGTAGCTCCTTCAGACTTTATCTGACTTATAGTGACGTGTGTTGCAGTGGGTTTTGTCTTCAAAAGAAGTAAACTTTCCTTATCCCCTTGGATTGACTCTGCTTCACATGGTCTTCTCCTCAATTCTATGTTTTATGCTTACCAAGGTTCTCAAGGTAAATAATATTCCCTTTTTGTTTTTATTGGTTACATGAATGCCACCTTATAGTGCTAATTTAGGGGATTTCATGCAGATAATGAAAGTTGAGGAAGGGATGACTCTAGATATGTGAGTATTCAAGTGAAAAGAGTTTCATGTCAAATATTTATCTTATTATGGATATTGATTGGCTTCTACCAGAGGAATTATTTTCTTTCCTGACATTGTACTTAAGCTCATTTACTTGTTCCCAAGTTATATGTCTAGCTTTCTTTTTTCTTTTTTTTTGATGTGACAGCGGGTTTCACTTTTGTATGAAATAATTATACCAAGTATTTTATCTCAAAAGAAATTACACAAGAATCCGCCTTTTTGAACCTAAAAAAAACTATTCCTTTTCATCAACTCTTAACAAAAATGTAAGTCAATTTGTAGCCTCCACGTGTTCTTATTAGAGTTGTTACATATTTAAGTTCTGACCTTAGAAATGTGCCAACTCAATTGTGACTAAAATGGAGTAATCAAATTAGGCTAAAAAAGGAGTTCAGCATGCTGGTTTTTACCAAATAATGAGAGAATCAAAAGTTAATGGTGAACTTCCTTATTTACCTATTTGTGTGAACTTGATCAAGATGTTGAAGAATCTTTCAGTGTGGGCTTCTCGTTATCTTTTATACGTGCATTCTAATTCATCCATGTAAGACAACTATTTGCTCTTGTTGTCATTTTTCTTCTTCTTGTTGTTCTTTTTTTGTGGTCCTCTTTTGTCAGATTTTCTCTTTCAATTGTTTCTGAAATTTCATTTATTCAAAATATTGTGGTTTCAAAATGCAGATACATTAGTTCGGTCATACCAATTGGTGCAATGTTTGCAATGACACTTTGGCTTGGGAACACTGCCTACCTTTATATTTCTGTTTCATTTGCTCAAATGTTGAAAGCAATCAGTAAGTAGTACTGTTATTAGCTGGCTTATGTACTGTAGACTATAGAAGGTAAAGGTAAATACAGCTTTAGGATATGATAGGGGAGCTGTCATGCGACACTTCATGCTTGATAGATGGCTTTAGAGGCTCGGCCGATGACCATTTGCTCAAGTACTTTTTTAATTTGTGCCAAGGGCATCATCTCTCTCTCTTTTGGTTTCTTCTGCAGTGCCAGTAGCAGTTTTCATTCTGGGGGTTGCAGCCGGACTTGAAATGATGAGCTGCAGAATGCTTCTCATAATGTCAGTAATCAGTTTGGGTGTACTTGTGGCTTCTTATGGGGAAATAGATATTAACTGGGTAGGTGTTGTCTATCAAATGGGAGGTGTTGTTGGAGAAGCTTTGAGGCTTATATTTATGGAGATTCTGGTGAAACGGAAAGGCCTGAAGCTCAATCCCATATCTGTGATGTACTATGTTAGCCCATGCAGGCATGTATTTTTATAGTCTAAAAGCTTGATGTATTGATAATTTTATTTCTGTTTCAACACTATAGATTCCTATTTAATTGGAATCTTCTTGACAAATGCAGTGCTCTTTGTCTTTTAGTTCCATGGATCTTTTTGGAGAAACCTAAGATGGATGAACAGAGGACATGGAGCTTTCAACCTCTTATTCTAACCCTGAATTCTTTATGTACCTTTGCCTTGAATCTGTCAGTTTTTCTGGTGATTCAACACACAAGTGCCCTGACAATTCGTGTTGCTGGAGTTGTCAAAGATTGGGTGGTTGTGCTGTTATCCGCACTTCTTTTTGCTGATACGAAATTGACACTGATTAATCTTTTTGGTTATGCTATTGGTAACTTTTCTAACCTCCTCCTCAAGATTCTTCTCCTAACCCTCTTGTGTGGTTCACTGCAGAAATATTGCTCTTTTTTTTACTGCCAAGATATTGCTTTGACTGTTTTAAGTGCATTATAGACATGTTCAATGTTCTCCTGTGCTGAGTTCCACAATTCTTGTGCAGTCAAATAGGATCAATCCATGAAAAGATTAGATTATTGAATGCATTTTTGTTTAGGTTCCCGGGATTATCTGCCTTCTTTTTGTGATGAGAAATAGTATGTCATTTGTGGTCCCCAGATGATGGATCAATCCCTTATATTGAAAAGCCTCCATTAAATCTTCCATCTCTTCCTGCCGTGGGTCAATTTAACTTCTCGAAGTCGCACAATCCTTCTGATTTTATATCTGTGGGTTTGTGCAAAACTTTTAGAGCTTTTGAGAATGGACTGTACCAACTACCATAACTGCAAATATCAATGCTGCCGCTAGTCCATGGAGAATATTTAAGATTTCTTTTGACCTTGTGCAATTGATTTTTTTCTTTTTCAGAATTTGTATTAAATTGGACCGACATAATCATCACTTCTAGTTAGTGATTCTTTGGAGACAGATGCCAACTGATGGTTATGATCTTAGTAGTACATCATCTTGTTACTTGGAGGGTTATAAGTGTAATGCTTAACTGAACTTCATGTTGGTCGGGACGGTCTTTAATTATTTCTCAAGCTAGTCTACCTAAACAAAAGTTTCTGCCTACTGTGTTTATACGTGTGGTAAGAAGTATGACGATTCATGGTACTACTTCATGAGCCCTTAATAACATATGAAGTTGTGGTGTTCTGTGCAGCTATTGCAGGTGTAGCAGCATATAATAATCACAAGCTAAAAAAGGGAACTTCCCAAGCAAGTTCAGATGAGTCTGAACCCACTCAATCTGTACCTTTAATACAATCTTCAAATTCCAACAAGTAGATAGATATATGTGAAGAACAGCCTCACAATTTATTGTGAGGTCTTGCATGTAAATGATGGGAATTGTTCAAGTTCTTGTAATCTCTTATTTGGGGATGGGATTTGACATACTGGCTCAAGATTTTTCTTATGAGAAGCCATCGTGAAACACAGTGATATTTGACTCTAAAGCATGCTTGTGGATGCAACCTTTTCTGATTGCTGCTGCTTTTGAATTTGGAGGATTTTTGTGATACATGTGATGATCGAAACAAAAAAAGTTATACTTGTATGACATAGAGAGTTCGGACCTTGTTCTGGACGAAAATAGGCTGGACTGACATCAAAATTAAACACGCTGACAGTTAACATACTACAATGTATTGCAGACATTTTGGGTTTCAGCAGTTTTTGGTTGAAATTCTTTTATATACAAGGCTGTTGTTGGTGCAATTGAGTTTTATTCTTCTTCTGTATTATGTTCTGCTCAGTATGAGACAATGTTTTCAATGCCTAAGTAGGATATTTCAGAATGATAGAACTTATATATATACAAATTGTGAGTTCATGTTGGTAAAATGAGATTTGCAGGATTGCATTGCTCGGCTACTGCCTACTGATAAGTGGAAGATCCCATGGACCAGGCTTTTGATGGAACTCCTCGACACAAAGGACACTGAAGGGTTGACAGGTGATGAATAGGTGAAAATATGTTTGCTCAGATTGTTCATTAACATGGGATTTGCTTTGTAATTTTTATTGAATTTATGTTGATATCAAATCATTCACTCTTCTGACAGATATTTTGTTTCAAATTTCCTTCACCAGTTTCTCTATATTTCTATTCTCATGAGTTGTTTGTTTGTCTGATTTCCAGATCTTCTTGTGCTAGATCTAGTTGTTTCCTATGCAGAAACTTCTAACTTCTATTAATCTGTGCTTGGTACTCTCTGAATATAGTTTTCAACGACTCTGGACACTGGAACTTCAAAACCATCACTAGTCCAGTACCGGTGCAATAGGTAGATCTTAGTCGCTGATGTAAACTCATCAAGGTGAAATCATTTGTATATTAAAGAAAAGATATAATGTTTATACTGATCTGATACTCCTATATGTGCACAAATAAATCTCACAGCTTTCTTAATCAGAGATCTCAAATAAACTGGAGTATCAAAGCAGGTGAGAAAACAAAAAATTCTGAAAGCTTATTGAGTTTAAGTGATGCTAACTTCTTCTATGTATAGGACAAGGGCCAATTAAAGGTCGAGATAGTACACTTGACACGAGATCAATTATCAAATGATATTGTTTTTAGTGTAGACCTTGACTTTGGTTCAAAGTGCCACCCTTTGTTAAGTAACAAAGAGGATAAGGCTTGGTTTGCCTCAGTTGTCTCCTCCCGAATATATTCGTCATATATTTGGAGTTTCTTTATTTTCTCTCTCTTTTTTTAGAAGAGCATATAACAAAGTATTACCCATTGTTAGTTTAAACTCTCGAGAGCTGAGACTAAGGGTGTGTTTTATTCTAAGGAAATAATTTTCGACTTCTTAATATTTATTTAATTCAAACTTGAAAATAAATATATTTTTTTCTGATATTAGCAACTTTCGTGATCAAATCCATCAAAGTTTGGTGGACAAATATGAAAGACGGCCGTATATAAGGGGTTATTTGCACATATATCCATATTTTAGATCGTTGTTTAATTTTTGTCAATATGTAATTATTTATTTTTTTCATTCATTACAATTAATAAAACAAAAAAAATTAATTAGAAACAGCCTCTTTCAACATAAGTTTATATTTTTACATCATAATATAATACAAATTATATTGTCAAAAAAAATATATAATACAAATCATATTTTACAAAACATATTAAATCATATGGTTAATTCCTATTGAACTTACGCTAATAAAAACATAAATTCAATTTAGAAATCTCAATTTTGACACATAAAACATAATTTAATTTCTACAAAATTTATGTGAGACATAATAAAAATTCTCTAAATTTCAAACATGTAAAATTAAGTTAAAATTATTTCCCTTAAATTTCCATAAGACGAAAAATATGAGGAAAAATTATAAATTTAAAGATGATCCAAATTAGGAATAAACAAATGGGTAAAAAGGACAAAAGACGGATGCCAGATGTGCATTACGCCTCATGGGGCGTGGGTGGGGGAACTTGTTCGCTTCCACACTCTCCTACTCTCCTCTTTTTTTTCTTTTGGCGCAAACATAATATACACACAGCAATAGCGAGCGCCACACTAAAATTTTTACCCCAAATTTAATAAAACACATTTGCCATTTTTTCAAACCACAATTAAACCTCCGTTCTTCTCCAAATCTCCCTCCTCACTGAACCCGAATTTACTACAAAACCTAAGAGAAAGAGATATAGAGAAGAAAGGAGGTGTACTCAAGTGGTAGAGGCGATGCGATCGTGGTGGCTGCAGCTTCGGGGCAGCCCATACGCGGCGGTTCTGACGGAGGAAGACGAATCAGGTCGTTAATGGCCTATTTGCAAATGAATTGGCAGCCCAACCTGCTTAGCCACAAACGCAAGACTGGTCCTCCTTTAGGGCTTAAAAACATCGGAAATACCTGTTATATCAACTCCGTTCTTCAGTGCCTTACTTATACCCCTCCTCTTGCTTATTTCTGCCTCAAATCTCAACATTCCGCTTCTTGTAATTCTTCTCTCTCTTTATTATGATTATACTCATCTTCTTTATGTTTTTCTTATTTTACTTCCTCCCCTCCCCCTTTTCGCCCAATTGGAGCTGAGTGATTATTGGGGATACATATAGCTGACTCTAATTGATTTGGTATTCAGGCATGATAATTGTTATGGTTATTGTTGATTACCTAATAGTTTCGGGTTGAGGTGTTAGTTGCTATGCACTTATGTTATTGATAATTCACATAGTATAGGCCTGACTAGTTTGGGATTGAGGTATTTGTTGTGGTTATTGAGGATTCATATAGCTGTCTCAAGTCACTCAACTAGTTCTGAATCGAAGCATGTATTTGTAGTATTAACTAATTGTTTTTGATAGTTGAGGTGTAGTTGGTAGATTATTTGATTGATGCCCTGGTTTTTTTAGCCTTTTCTTGAATCCCATTATGTTGTGCAGGTGATTCTGAAGCTGCAGCTGCTTCAGGGAAGAAAAGTGAATGTCCTTTTTGTATATTAGAGAAGAGAATAGCTAGGTCTTTGAGTCTTGAATCAGCACTAGATACTCCGGCCAAGATTAATAGTTGCTTAAAGATTTTCGCCCAGCATTTTAGGTTTGGGAGGCAAGAGGATGCTCATGAATTCTTGCGATATGTCATTGACGCCTGTCATAATACGTGTTTGCGGTTGAAGAAGTTGCAGCAGCAGACAAAGAAGGGTGGTGGAGGTGGTGTAGATGGGAATGGGAATACCATTGTTAAGGAGATCTTTGGGGGTGCTCTGCAGAGCCAGGTCAAGTGTTTGTCATGTGGTGCTGAATCAAATAAGGTGGATGAGATTATGGATTTAAGTCTTGATGTACTGCACAGTAGCTCACTCAAAGATGCTTTGCAGAGATTTTTTCAGCCTGAAGTTTTGGATGGAAACAACAAGTACAAGTGTGAGAAGTAAGTATTATCCTCTTTGCTTTTCCTTTAATTCATATTGTATGATAATCTGCTGTTTTAAGTTCGTGTTTTCGCACCTGTTCGAGTAATGACTTATACTTGTTTAGCTGTAAGAAATTGGTGACAGCAAGGAAGCAAATGTCAATTCTTCAAGCACCGAATGTTCTTGTCATTCAGCTCAAGGTACAAACCAGTTGGAATTTCTGTCTTTTCTGTTTTACTGTCAACTGCCTATGCTAACTTATTTTTGATTGTGATCAGAGGTTTGAAGGAATATATGGTGGGAAGATTGATAAGCCCATTGCATTTGAGGAGGTTCTAGTGCTTTCAAGCTACATGTGCAAAGCAAGCCAGGTGTGTGCCGTCGTGATTAAGTTCAATATATGCTGTCTTGCTCTCCACCACTGGATTTATTCTTCCCCAATTAAATTCAGACCATCTTCTAATGAAGCTATCTTCTAATGAGGGTCTTCTGGAAGTAGCCTCTCTATCTCCACGTCCACGAGGTAGGGGTAAGGTCTATGTACACCTTACTCTTTGCCAACCTCACTTGTGGGAATACACTGGGTATATTGTCGTTGTTATAACCTCCATGCATTGCTTGGTCATACTCTCTGTAGAGTCTGTACCTGTCAGTAAAATCTGCATAGAAGAAAGGACTGAACCCTGCACTATTGATATAAAATAGTAATTGGTATTTTTAAAAGTGGTTTGAATATGGTCCCGCCTGTGTTAATATGGGTAGTTGGAGAGAGCAAGATATAAATATGAGAGCTTTTGAAGGAGTAGAGTTGAGTTCCTCTCTTTTGGGGAGTATTCTTCGATCCCTTATTTTCTTTTGGTGTAAACAAAAAGTTCCCTGTTGTATAGATGCTTGAGTGGAGTTTGTAGAGTATCATATTCCGTAGATCCTTTATTTTTTGGTATACCTCTTGTATAAAACCAGTTTGGCCATGCTTATGAATGAAAAGACACTTGATAAATAAAAAGATTACACTAGTATTTTGTTTTACATTAAAATTAAGATAGTAATTCTACTAGTGAACTCCCTTCTTCCTCACTAACTTATGCATGTTCTCTGATCGTTGATTTGGGAAATTTGTGGTCTCATATGTACACAACTTAAGGTTCAGGCAATCTCATCATATTAACAGTGATTGAATATGAATTTTTTATTGGGGTTGAGGCTGTGAGTCTGAGAGCGTTCATTGTGTATATGTTTTTTTTGGAGACACTGTTTTTGGCTTTCTTGATACATGGTACAATGAATTAAGATTTATAATGGGTTGCATCAATTTGGGCATAATAGTATATGGTGCACATAGGTGTATTTTGAACTGTCTTCTTTCAGAATTATACTAGTAATCCTTGCTGACTGAACATCAGTGTGCCTGTTCACATTTATATAAATTTAATGATGTGGAGTTGTGGTATAGTGTTCATCCTAGCTGATTGAACAATAAACTTTTAGTAAATAATTTGAGAAATAAGCTACATCTCTCTCATAGTCAAGTTACTTCATGTTCTTTAATTTGCAGGATCTGCATCCAGAATACAATCTTTTTGGAACTATTGTCCACTCAGGCTTTTCACCAGATTCAGGGCACTATTATGCATATATTAAGGTGACAGCTTCATTCTGTATTAATTGCCCCTTACATTTTTTTCCTGAGAAGTATTAGAAAGCTATTAAAAATAAAAGTCAAACCATTTGCCTTATAATCTCACAAGCAAAAGTTGCCTTATATATCACATGCAAAAGTTGCTGTGTTGTCAACAGCATTACTGGGGAAAAACTGTCTTGTCTAGCCAGACCTTCGAGAGTCCCAACTTTTTCTTCATTCTTTATTCCTTACTTGGTATTGTAAAAGATGATAGTAGTTAGATGATATAGGCAATCATAGTTTTATGTTACCAGATTGTTTGTGTTTTGATTTTGGTTGGCTATTTAACAGGATGCTGTGGGTCGTTGGTACTGCTGTAATGATTCTCAGGTTTCTCCTAAAATCTTGCAAGAAGTGTTGTCAGAAAAGGTGTACATCCTTTTCTTCTCTCGTACCAAACAGAGGTCACCATCCACCAAGACATGTTTATCAATTAATGGATCAAAATCCAATCACTCCAATGGCTTGGCTAAATCCAAAATCTTGACCAGTGACTTAGCAAAAACAGTAAACGAAAAG